ATCTGAATGGAGTTGGCTGTCAGGTACGGCACTAGTATAGTAAGTAGTCATCTGAATGGAGTTGGCTGTCAGGTACGGAACTAGTATAGTAAGTAGTCATCTGAGTGGAGTTGGCTGCCGATTAGAGTTCATCATCAATTCGACCGTTATCGAAACACAACTGCATGGCCCTTACCTGCGTTAATTGTATATTTTACGCTTTGTGTAGAAATTTAACATCCCCTTTACGGTTTACTAAATACAAGAAATTTACCGATTAGGTCATTAACATGTAATTGGTAACAAGTAAGGCTGCTTTGTTTCCACAGTAAAAATGTATCTGTATGTATCTCAGTCAATTATAACTGTACCTCAGTCAATTATAACTGTATCTCAGTCAATTATAAATATATCTCAGTCAATTATAAATATATCTCAGTCAATTATAAATGTACCTCAGTCAATTATAACTGTATCTCAGTCAATTATAACTGTATCTCAGTCAATTATAAATGTACCTCAGTCAATTATAACTGTATCTCAGTCAATTATAAATGTACATCAGTCAATTATAACTGTACCTCAGTCAATTATAACCGTATCTCAGTCAATTATAAATATATCTCAGTCAATTATCAATGTACCTCAGTCAATTATAACTTTATCTCAGTCAATTATAAATGTACATCAGTCAATTATAACTGTATCTCAGGCAATTATAAATGTACCTCAGTCAACTATAACTGTATCTCAGTCAGTTATAAATATATCTCAGTCCATTATAACAGGTGGGTAACTCACCTCGTTTCTGACGCTCCTGTGAGGCGGCGCTGACAGGAGGACCCAGAGGTACGTTACGGTCAGTAGGTGTAGGAGTAGCTCTGTAAACAAGTAAAATTGATTTCAGTACCTTGTCACCATTAAAGTAGATACCTACAGTCTAGTTGTTACAGTAGGGACACACAGTCAACATTACAGTAGGGACACACACTCACAACATTACAGTAGGGACACACAATGATTATTACAGTTACTAGGACATATACTGTCAACATTACAGTAGGGACCCAAACAGTCAACATTACGACCCAGTCTAGTCGTTACAGTAGGGACTTACATTCTAGGTGTGACAGTAGGGACACACAGTCTATTTGTTACAGTAGGGACACACAATCATTATTACAGTTACACTCATTATTACAGTTAGGACACACACTGTCAACATTAAAGTAGGGACACACAGTAAACATTACAGTAGGGACACAAACAGTCAACATTACAGTAGGGACATCACAGTCAACATTACAGTTACTAGAACACAAAATCATTATTATAGTTACTGGGACACACACAGTCAACATTATAGTAGGGACACACACTGTCAACATTAAAGTAGGGACACACAGTAAACATTACAGTAGGGACACACAATGATTATTACAGTTACTAGGACATATACTGTCAACATTACAGTAGGGACATCACAGTCAACATTACAGTTACTAGAACACACACTGTCAACATTATAGTAGGGACACACACTGTCAACATTAAAGTAGGGACACACAGTAAACATTACAGTAGGGACACACAATCATTATTACACAGTTTAGTTGTTACAGTAGGGACACCCAGTCTACTTGTTACAGTAGGGACACACAATCATTATGACAGTTACTAGGACACACACTGTCAACATTAAAGTAGGGACACACAGTAAACATTACAGTAGGGACACACTGTTACAGTAGGGACACACAGACAACATTATAGTAGGGACACACACTGTCAACATTAAAGTAGGTACACACAGTCAACATTACAGTATGGACACACACTGTCAACATTAAAGTAGGGACACACAGTCAACATTACAGTATGGACACACACAGTCAACATTACAGGAGGGACACACACTGTCAACATTAAAGTAGGGACACACAGTAAACATTACAGTAGGGACACACACGGTCAACATTACAGTTACTAGGACACAAAACCATTATTATAGTTACTAGGACCCACACAGTCAACATTACAGTAGGGGCACACACTGTCAACATTACAGTAGGGACATCACAGTCAACATTACAGTTACTAGAACACAAAATCATTATTATAGTTACTCGGACACACACAGTCAACATTACAGGAGGGACACACACTGTCAATATTACAGTTAGGACACACACAGTCAACCAGAATAGTACCACATCATTACACTCCAGCTGTAACCAAACACACAGTCAACATTACAGTTAGGACACACAATCATTATTATAGTTACTAGGACCCACACAGTCAACATTACAGTATGGACACACACTGTCAACATTAAAGTAGGGACACACAGTAAACATTACAGTAGGGACACACAATGATTATTACAGTTACTAGGACACACAATCATTATTATAGTTACACACAGTCTAGTCGTTACTGTAGGGACTTACATTCTAGTTGGTACAGTAGGGACACACAGTCTCCTTGTTACAGTCGGGACACACAGTCTACTTGTTACAGTAGTGACACACAGTCTAGTTGTTACAGTCGGGACTTACAGTCTAGTTGTTAAAGTGGGAAAACACAGTGTAGTTGTTACAGTAGGCACTTATATTCTAGTTGTTACAGTAGGGACTTACCGTCTAGTTGTTACAGTAGGGACTTACCGTCTAGTTGTTACAGTAGGGACACCCAGCCTAGTTGTTACAGTAGGGACACCCAGTCTACTTGTTACAGTAGGGACACCCAGTCTACTTGTTACAGTAGGGACACACAATCATTATTACAGTTACTAGGACACACACTGTCAACATTAAAGTAGGGACACACAGTAAACATTACAGTAGGGACACACAATGATTATTACAGTTACTAGGACATATACTGTCAACATTACAGTAGGGACACACAGTCAACATTACAGTGGGGACACACACAGTCAACATTACAGTGGGGACACACACAGTCAACATTACAGTTAGGACACACACAATCAACATTACAGTAGGGACACTCAATCATTATTACAGTTACTAGGACACACAATCATTATTACAGTAGGGACACACACTCACAACATTACAGTAGGGACACACAATCATTATTACAGTAGGGACACACACTCACAACATTACAGTAGGGACACACCCTGTCAACATTACAGTTACTAGAACACAAAATCATTATTATAGTTACTGGGACACACACAGTCAACATTACAGGAGGGACACACACTGTCAATATTACAGTTAGGACACACACTGTCAACATTAAAGTAGGGACACACAGTAAACATTACAGTAGGGACACACAATGATTATTACAGTTACTAGGACATATACTGTCAACATTACAGTAGGGACACACCCTGTCAACATTACAGTTACTAGGCCACAAAATCATTATTATAGTTACTCGGACACACACAGTCAACATTACAGGAGGGACACACACTGTCAACATTAAAGTAGGGACACACAGTAAACATTACAGTAGGGACACACCCAGTCAACATTACAGTAGGGACACACACAGTCACCATTACAGTAGGGACACACACAGTCACCATTACAGTAGGGACACACACAGTCACCATTACAGTAGGGACACACACTCACAACATTACAGTAGGGACACACACTGTCAACATTACAGTTACTAGGACACAAAATCATTATTATAGTTACTAGGACACACACAGTCAACATTACAGTAGGGACACACACTGTCAACATTACAGTTAGGACACACAATCATTATTACATTTAGGACACACAAAGTCAACATTACAGTAGGGACACACAGTCAACATTACAGTAGGGACACACACAGTCAACATTACAGTAGGGACACACAATCATTATTACAGTTAGGACACACACTGTCAACATTACAGTAGGGACACAAACAGTCAACATTACAGTAGGGACACAAACAGTCAACATTACAGTAGGGACATCACAGTCAACATTACAGTTACTAGAACACACACTGTCAACATTACAGTAGGGATACACACAGTCAACATTACAGTAGGGACACACACAGTCAACATTACAGTAGGAACAGACACAGTCAACATTACAGTTAGGACACACACAATCAACATTACAGTAGGGACACACAATCAGTATTATAGTTACTAGGACACACACTGTCATCATTACAGTAGGGACACACCCAGTTAACATTACAGTAGGGACACACCCAGTTAACATTACAGTAGGGACACACACAGGCAACATTACAGTAGGGACATCACAGTCAACATTACAGTTACGAGAACACACACTGTCAACAGTACAGTAGGGATACACACAGTCACCATTACAGTAGGGACACACCCAGCCAACATTACAGTAGGGACAAACACAGTCAACATTACAGCAGGGGAACACAAAGTCAACATTACAGTAGGAACAGACGCAGTCAACATTACAGTTAGGACACACACAATCAACATTACAGTAGGGACAACCACAGTCAACAATACAGTAGGGACACACACAGGCAACATTACAGTAGGGACACAAACAGTCAACATTACAGTAATGACACACAATCATTATTACAGTTACTAGGACACACAGTGTCAACATTACAGTAGGGACACACACAGTCACCATTACAGTAGGGACACACCCAGTCAACAATACAGTAGGGACACACACTGTCAACAATACAGTAGGGACACACAATCAGTATTATAGTTACTAGGGCACACACTGTCAACATTACAGCAGGGACACACAATCATTATTCCACTTACTAGGACACACACTGTCATCATTACAGTAGGGACACACACAGGCAACATTACAGTAGGGACACAAACAGTCAACATTACAGTAATGACACACAATCATTATTACAGTTACTAGGACACACACAGTCAACATTACAGTAGGGACACACACAGTCAACATTACAGTTAGGACACACAATCATTATTATAGTTACTAGGACACACACAGTCAACATTACAGTTAGGACACACACAGTCAACATTACAATAGGAACACACAATCATTATTACAGTTACTAGGACACACAATCATTATTACAGTTACTAGGACACACACTGTCAACATTACAGTTAGGACACACAGAGTCAACATTACAGTAGGGACACAAACAGTCAACATTACAGTAGGGACACACACAGTCAACATTACAGTTAGGACACACACAATCAACATTACAGTAGGGACACACAATCATTATTACAGTTACTAGGACATACACTGTCAACATTACAGTAGGGACACACACAATCAACATTACAGTAGGGACACACAATCATTATTACAGTTACTAGGACACACACATTCCATGTGACAGTAGGGACACACAATTATTATTACAATTCGTATATCATGTTTAATACCTGTCAAGTCTCTCTGCCAGGTCAAGGTCAGAGAAGTCCACCTTGACATTGTTGTCCCGGTTTTCGTCTACACTGGAAGCCTCGGACGTACGATGAATACTTTCAACAGTGTGTGGGCGTTCATACAGATACTCATGAATGTTGGGTATCTGTTGGACAATTTCCCGACGACGAGCCAGTGTCCGATTAGGCGGGGCACCATAACTCTTTGTTTCTGAAGAGGAAATAATGAATGCAAAAACACCCCATTTTGATTTAAATTACTGTTTTATATGGAATTTTAATGTCTCAGTCAGTGCAGTGGAAACTAATCTTACTAAATCTAGTGATGCACTGGGCACTGGAATGTGAACATTAATGTCTCAGTCAGTGCAGTGGAAACTAATCTTACTAAATCTAGTGATGCACTGGAATGTGAACATTAATGTCTCAGTCAGTGCAGTGGAAACTAATCTTACTAAATCTAGTGATGCACTGGGCACTGGAATGTGAACATTAATGTCTCAGTCAGTGCAGTGGAAACTAATCTTACTAAATCTAGTGATGCACTGGAATGTGAACA